CTTTGCACAGCTTTAGGGATAGGTGCTATTCCGCTCGCCGTGAAGCTGTCTTTAATCTTTATAAAATATGCCTTGTTACCGATAAACCTGCCTACGGCTACACATTCATCACGGGGGTTTCATTGCGAAAGAAAGCACAACTTTTTGGACTGTCTGGGGACTTTTTCCCTTTTTTTAACGTAGGCATTTATGTTGAGAGTAGAGTTGTGGGACTGCAATCCCCATATGGCACACCCTGAACTGGTCTCTGAGGAATCGGAACTATCTCTGATATCAGAAGTCTGAAGACGAGGTTGTGGGTCCTGGGCTGCGGTTCTAACCACAGTCTGCTGGCAGTAAGTCCCACTGAAGTGTCATGAGTTGTCTCGGGAATACCAGTTGAATCGGGCAGTAGCTGGAGCAATTCCACAGATTTTGAAAGGTTTACACAAGTTTGCTTGTTGGTAGTTGTTTGTTTGAAAACTAAAGCTACAATCCTAAACACACTGAACTGAGCACACTGAACACAATGGGACTTCGGAGTAAACATGCATAGGGGTTGCTATGAGTGTCCTACTGGAGTCACTTCATCAAGAGTTATCTATCGCAGACTGTTAGGATTCACACATGCCATGCATGGCTCACGTGCCTCAGCATCACTCTTTCGACACGGAGGTGCACATGTGAACTGCCTCCGTTTATTAAAGAATATTGTGGGTGGGTATTCGCGTTTTAGAAGGCACAACACAGTCCTAAGCGCTCTTCTCATAAGTGCAAGATACTGTTTGATTTCCTTAAAAAACTACGCATATGCGATCTCGCTCTTGGAGTCTTGGAGCATATAAGTCAAGTGTGCTGAGGTTATGGCGTTGCTCTGACGCGTTTTAAATATTCAAATGTGATCTGGCAGTCGGTCCACGGGGAACTGCTCGCTCTTTCCATAACAACCTGCCTGGGCCTGGTTTTGGTTGTGCAGAGGAGTCTGTAACGCCCACCAACCCCACTTTGCCTTCCTTGGGCCGTGCGTAACGTCAGGGCAAACCTCGGCCTGTTCTAGGGAGACATTTTGCACGTCGTGAATTGAATGTCTTGCTTTTGTGATGGGGCATAATTCTCCCAGCCCTGCCTGCTCGCCCCAGTTGCAAATTGAAGGACCGCCCCGGAGTCTAGGAGAGTTCACCGGCAGTTTACGTTTCTTGGGCATAATGGCCAAGTTGCTTGATTTGTTAGCGCATTCCGCGCCTGCTTTCGCCTTCTTCGCCCTATAGACCCGGGCAGCAGGCTGCCTGCAACCACCGACATAATGAAAGCGAGGGAGCCTCGTCAGTGACATAGGGCTTGCGCTACAATTAAACCAGGTAACGAGACACTGGGCAGATGTGTTTTCATTGCACTGTAAGATAAATGCAGTGTTAAATGCCTGACAACTTCCCAGAAGCAATCAGCAAAAGTTTACGAGTGCATAAACCACAAAGACCAATTCCTCGGGTATTTTTTATATGCCCCGCATTTAAAGCTTCTATAAATTCTTCTGCCGGCTTCCAAACTAAAGTTAGTGGCGACTATTAAACAGCTACCTTCCTCCGGGGAATGCAGGGGGAAAAGAGTTTGCTAGCAGAGGAGCTGGAGAAGTTCGGCCGCAGAAATGTTTGGGAACTGTGTGTGTATAGCTCTCGGAGGTTTGCAGGAAACCTGCAGCTTCTGAAGGCAGCGGGACAAGCCCTGGAGATGGTGGCAGGCAGCACGCGGGGGCGAGGGGAGGCAGGGAGGGACTAGATGGGAGCTCGCAGAGAGGGTAATCCTGTGTTTAATCAGCAAGTCACTGACCCTCTTTATGACGAGGAAAGGAGGATCGACTCGCTGGGGGAAACGGAAAGGCACTCGGCGCCTCGAATCTCATTGCATTTGGTGTGACCTTACACTTCTCCCACCTGCTCGCTGCAGAGTGGTGCACCTGTCCAGAGAGTGACAGAGCATCAATCACTCAGCTAACCAGTCCCTCATTTTTCCACGCGATCAGGCAGTGCTTGGATGCTGGTGGTGAGGAAACGCCTTCAGCACCATTAACAGCAATCTGAGCTGTTCAGTCTCTCCTCTCTCCAACTGTGTACTGAGCAAGGTAAGCCGCCATCTGAAAAGTTTCAACAGCAGCAGCAGCAGCAACGACGAAGGATGCGTGTAAAGGAAGCATCGCAGATCAATGAAGAGGAAGCCCGTCTGCCTTCCAAAACAAATTAAAGTTATTAGCAGATGAAAAGGAGATTCTCCATCGTCACGTTTATAGTAACAGTCTCCCATATCCCGGAACTTTCAGAAGTTGATATTAAATAGGGAAGAGCTTGCTCTGATACTTAACAGGGTTTTCAATGTATGGTTCCAGCGAAAATGAAGTTGCTAATTGAGAAACAATAAGCTGTGATAGACATGGGCAGAGCCGTTTGTAAGAAGATTGTAAGAAGGTGGGGAGTTTGGGAACCCGCCAGGGACTTGAGTGGGAGTCAAATGATACTTGCGGGGGGAGGAGAGGGGGGTCTCTTTAATAGGCTTGACTTGCTTCTCATTAAATGGAGAGACACCAGGGTGACTGTGTGTATCATACTGGAGTCCTCGCTAGATGTAAATCTCCAGTCAATAGTGGGAAGGGGGATGGAGGCTGCGGCTGGGCTTCTTTTCATTCTTTTCCAGGTGAAAAATTCAAATGGAGTCTGTTGTCGCCTGCTCCTTTTCTCTGCTGAAACAAGACACCCAACTGTTCTGATATTGCCATTCAAAAACAAGGTTCTGTGGCAAACCTCATTTGTGAATCTATTACAGAGATTAATAGATTATTTCTTCTTTTTCAACTAATTCTCAGTGGGGAAATTTAACCATATGGTAAGGAGAGAATTAGAATTTCATCACATTAGAGCAAAATGTAATGAAAAGAGTCCAGCACCTGGGGCCAACTGTGAAAGACACAATTAAAAGGGTTTTAATGAAACCAGAGAAACCCAAAATTTCATAGCCTTCAGTTATTCTGTCGCATAAGAATGATTTAATGGAAGTGTTGGGAAATATTATTTAGTGATGTCATAAGAACGGAGGGAAACATATAAAACCCTGCTATAATATGCCCTGGGCTTGTAGAAGGAATATAATACAAACAGAATTGGGGGAGGGGGGATTTTCTTCTAGACTAGAGGATCAGATGGATCCACTTTAAAGAAGGGTCTCGCTCCTTGACTTCATTGTTACGTTCCGGCTGCCCGAAAAGTATGAAGGGGGTGGGTGGGTTTGAGAACAACAATTCGAATGAAACATGAAGATAATATAAAGTAAATACTGGATTACACAAGCAGTCCTTGCTCCTCACTTAGAGTAATAGCTGTCTATCCATCTATCCCGAAATTAAGGAAGTCCCATCCTTTAGAAATGCTCGCTAATAAGAAACGCCATCCACAAATTGTAAATCTGTGGCCCTTTGATTTAAGATGACTGAATTGGCAAGGCAATCTGAAAAGAAATTTAATAGGGGAAATGGGGTCCTGTGCTTTCAACAGTGGAGCCTACTTCCAAGGGTAGGGCTTTAGGCGAAATTGGTCCTTTTCACACCCAAGTCCTTGGTTTGGAAGTTGGGTGTGGAGGGAGGTGAATCCTCCTGGCATAAACACCTCCACTTCAGTTCATTGCAGCCTAAAAGTGGGTTTTACGCTTATCCACTGCAAAGGAGCGTTGTACCGCGGGAAGGTGGGACGAGAGTGGATGAAGAAATGGCGGTAGATAGGAAACATCACTTTGCCAAAACTGCGAGTAAGACTAGGGAGCGTGTGCTCAAAAGTGAACAGCCGTTGCGAGAAATGGGTTGAGCCCAAGGTGAAGTTCGAGGGCCAATAAACAAGCAAGCGGCTCCTTCGCGCCTCCCCACCCCCCTCCGCCTTCGCCACGAGCTGGACGTAAACAGCGCTGGCGTGGGCGCAAAGTTCGCAGAAGTCCGCTGGCAGCCCTGGCAGAAAAAGTGTGCAGCCCGCCCGCCCACCGACCCCCTTTCTCCCCCCCACCTCGGCCTCGCCGCTCTATAATTTGCTGAAGGAGGCCAAGAGCATTATTCGCCCTAAGTAGGGCTTTTAAGAGTGCTCATTGAGGAGTGAAAGTCGCCACACATGTCAAGCTTTAAAGGCAGTTGTTGGCTTCCTAATAGGACACAACGCCTTGCAAACATATGCGTGAAGCTGTGCCTACAGATGGCAGCGAGAAGAATGGAGCAGGCGCCTTTTATAAAGCGCGAGCTGCTGCCTGTCGTCTTCTCCTCCAGACCTGTGTGTGAAATGAAAACTCCTCCGACTCAGGGCCAAGCCTAGCGCCTGGGCTCGTTTGTTACCGTTTTAATCCTATTAATTAAAACGTTAACCTGATTGGGTAGAAAGCTCTGTCCCAACAGGCGAGGCTTCTTCATAATAACCTTCTCGGCGAGATAATGAGGTAAAAGACTCCCCCGTCTGTGGTGGCGGCGGCGGCGGCGGCAGTGGTGACGGGCGGGTGGCGGCAGAAGCAGCAGCAGCAGCGAGCGAGCGAGCGAAAGCTGCTCCTTCCCCCCCCCTCCCCTGCCTTTCTCCCCTCCCTTGATGGGTCCCGGAAATCTCTTGAAGGTGAATCCAAGCAAGATAAACGGTGCGAGAGGCTCGCTGGCAGCTCACAATGCCTGAGCCCTTCACAGGGTGAGAGGAGAGAGGCGCGGAGAGCGAGCGAGACCGAGAGCGAGCGACGCGCGCTGAGGGGAGAGGAAGAACGCGCGCCAAAGAGGCCGGCCGAGCAGCCTCGCCTCAGAAACACGCGAGCGGCGGGAAGAAGAAGAAGAAGAAGAGGGAGCAGGCGGCGGAAGAGCCGCTTTCCGAGGGAAAGGGAAGCCACCTCAGAGCCCGCCGCAGCCCGACCCCCGGCCCGGCGCCTCGGCGGAGAGGAGAGGGGGAGGGGGCCTGGGAGGGCGACAGCGGCACGAGGAGTTGGAGGAGGGGAGCCCGGCGGCGGCGGCGGCGGCGGGGACCATGGAGCGGGCTCTCAACCTGCCCACTGATGAGGACATATTCCACAAGAGTTACAGCGCGTCGGCCAAGAGGATGGAGTCCGCCTTTCGCTCGCCGCCGGGGCTCGAGCTGGTCGCCCACCAGGCGCCGCCGCCGCGCGAGCCCCGCCAGGCGCCGCCGTCTCCCCTCGGCTGCTACGAGCCGGGCGACTCCGAGGTGCTGCTGAGGGAAGGCGCGGGGGCCGGCGCGCTGGTGGCCGGCGACCCTCTGGGCGGCTCGGTGTGCGTCAAGTACGGGCCGGGCCCGACGACGAGCCGCAGCTCGGTGGCCGAGAGCAGCGGCGGCGAGCAGAGCCCCGACGACGACAGCGACGGGCGCTGCGAGCTGCTGCTGCGGGGCCCCGGCGGAGGCAGCGGCGCCGGGGTGGTGGTGGGCGCGGGGGGCGCCCTGCTGAAGGCGCCCGAGGGCGGCGCCTGCTCCAACAGCCACCACGGCCCGGGCGGCGGCGGCGGCAAGAAGTCCAAGGAGCAGAAGGCGCTGCGCCTCAACATCAACGCCCGCGAGCGGCGGCGCATGCACGACCTGAACGACGCGCTCGACGAGCTGCGGGCCGTCATCCCGTACGCGCACAGCCCCTCGGTGAGGAAGCTCTCCAAGATCGCCACGCTGCTGCTGGCCAAGAACTACATCCTCATGCAGGCGCAGGCCCTCGACGAGATGCGCCGCCTCGTCGCCTATCTCAACCAGGGCCAGGCCATCTCGGCCGCTTCGCTGCCCAGCTCGGCGGCGGCTGCGGCGGCTGCGGCGGCCGCCTTGCACCCAGCGCTCGGGGCCTACGAGCAGGCGGCGGCGGGCTACCCTTTCAGCGCCGGCCTGCCGCCCGCCACCTCGTGCCCGGAGAAATGTGCCCTTTTCAACAGCGTCTCGTCCAGTCTCTGCAAACAGTGCACGGAGAAGCCTTAAAAAGAGACACGTCGCGGACTCCACAGCCCGATCCCTCTCCGTCCTTCCTTCCCTCTGGGCAGGACTTTCGCTGCAGCAGCCGCCTCGATAGGGGGAGGAGGATCTGGGGGCAAAAGGGGGACTTGAGTGCAACCGAGACCTCAGCGAAATTTAGACACACGCACGCAAAATCGCAATTTTTGAGGGGTGTATGTTTTTGGGTGAGTGTGCGCAAAGAGATATAGCAGATCGGGAGGAGAAAAAACAAATCCTCTGTCCTCCACATGGTTTCTTAAAAACTTCCGAGTACTGGGAACTTTTTCGATAAGCAGCCAAGGACGGGGAGGGGGGATTGGTTGGGCTTGGGCAAGGGATAGATGTGGTGGAAGCAAGTTGGATTGTAAACTCAGACAAATCAAGAAGGGCACTTAAAAAGTTTTTTTTAATGTTATTTTATTTTATTGCTTCTGAGCCAGGAAACAAGCAAACTTGAAATGTAGACTAATTGAGATTAGACGCGCGCAAAATTGCTCTGAAAATACTTGTATTTTTTATTTTCTCTGAAGTTTTGAACCTGTGAAAATGCACAAAGTTTGGGCGGGGAGTGAGCTTAAAATGATGCAACAAAACTCCTGTTCGTGTGGCTGAAGTATTGCAGGTTTATTTTTTTAAAAGATGTGCACCTTGTTTCTTTTCACTTTGCAAGCCTGTGTACAAGAGGACACGATATTTATTTCAATGGCCCTTTCACGCCAACAGTATCCATCCTGTGTTGAGGTCATGGGTCTTCTGTGAATTTTCTTTTAAATGCTTCTTAAAATTCCCATTAACTTAAAACTTTGTGCCAAGTGTTTTAAAACGTTGATTTGCCAAGGACATGTGAACCAGAAATCTTGATGTATCGGAGCTGCTGAGGCTTATGAAAAGGTCATTCTGGGTTTTAAGTTGCATCATCCCTGTATTTATAAATTGAGCTTTAATAAATTGCTTCAGTCCAAAAATGAGAGGAGAGGTGTATTCTTAATTGCTTAATGAACTGGACTGTTGGTGACTAGAAATTCTTTGCAGCATGAAGGGATTTGTTTCTAGTTACTTACTGTGATAACAAGGCATCAGACAATAGTTCCTGTCAGGAATTTGCAAAACATGGTTTTTTTTTCAGATGGTAGTGTTTGGTTTCTCAAAAGGAGTGAATAAGGCGAATTTTTGACTATTGATTATGAAAGTTATTTAAGCTGAAGGTGGATATCTGCCTTAGCCGTTGTTTTACATGCGTTTCACCCAGAATGATGATATAAGGCCCAGGAGTAAATGAATTTCTGTTTCCCTCAAAGGTGGAATTCAAAATGAGTTTGTATTTGGGTGGCTTCCTTAACCAGCCCACAACCCTTTCAAGTTGCGGTACTGGGAGTAAAGGTGCTTAACAGAACAACTCAGTTAAGTGGAAGTCGGTTTTGCTCCAGTTTGCATCCTAACTCTAACCACACTTACCTGGAGGAGAATCCCAATAGTTCAGTAGATTTTTCTTTTGCCTAAGTGTGCTCAACATTGCAGGGTGAAACAGGTTCAAATCTGTTCTAGCCAGACGGGGTTGCAATAGACAGGGGCAACCAGCCTCTGCAGAGGCTGTACAATCTTGCTTTAAACACACTATCTTGAAAATCAATCCCATCCGAAGTCAAATAAACTTATTCCTAAGGAAAATATGTAGTTTGGAGTCTGGGCCTTAATATCAGCATTTAAACTTCTGCATTGTGGGTAGGATGAGCATCAATAGGACTTGAGACGTATTATCTCTTAACTTTGACAAAACTGGATTGTGAATCATGGTGCCAATCAAGCGTAGATCCCGAAAATCTTTATTTCCCCCTCCCCACGCTTTCTTCCCACCTCGACGGGGCTTGGTATTTTCCACTACTTGCTGATAATCCAAATTCAGTCTGTCAGCTCTGGATGGCAAAACGAGAGCCGTGTTGGATCTGTTGGCAGGTCATGGATGTGTAAAGAGTGATATATGTTAAATAGGTCAATCAGATGATGACAGCGATGTATGATGGTTTGTATGTGTATCTATGTCGGAAAGAATCTTTATTAAAATATTTTGAACAAATCCTTACCTCCCTGTGCTTTGTAAGAGGGGCGAAAGAATACACCCCCATTCAGCCCTCTTCCTTTTCGCTTTGTGCAGATCAAAAAAGGGGGAGACCCCTGTTGTATGAAGGCATAAGGCGTCGAGATGACCTTGTTGTTTGCCTATTTTTGGTTCATGTTTAGAAGGGAGGGAAGGCTTCTTGTCAGGACGCATCCAGGAGCAGGGGATAAAAGCCGTCAGTTTCTTGCTTTTAGGAAGATTGAAGGCTGTCCTCATGCTACCTATGGGAAGGAGACTCTCTGGGGTGGAAAAACCCCACCTCTTTTTGTATGGTCCTCAAATGCCCGTGGATAATACGGATAAGATCTCGAATCAGGTACAGGTATTAAAGGGCACCTCCAAAGCGCTCTAGGTGGTGGCTCTGCCCTACCTGTAGCTCGCAGGTGGCTGACTCCCCCCCCCCCCGCCCTCAAACGCCAGCAAGCCTTCCCCTTTCCCACAGAGCAGCTAGAACCTCTCTACTGTCGGGGAGGCTGCTCTGGCAGTGTGAACGTCCCGCATGTGTTGGTGCCTGCGGGGCACAGATTCCGGATTGCAGTTGTGCTGCGTGCCCGGTGCCACTGCCCGCTCCTAAGTGCAGGTCTCTGTTTGTGGCGCCCTTCCGATGTCTCCCCGCGAATGCCCTCAGATGGCGCGACAGGCGAAGGCGCGCGGGGGGTAGGTGGGCAGCGGATAAATATTTTCTGCCCCACTTGGCCTCGAGAGAGAGAGAGATTAATCAGAACCTGTAACTTTTCAGGATTCATAACTGTCCAGCGCGGTTAAGGCAGGCCAGACAGGGTGGGCAGGCAGCTCCCTCGCCCCCAGGCGCCAGGAGGAACCGTCTCTCAGTATTTACTAGACAAAGCCTGGGTGCGTCTAATTATGATTATTAAAACAATTTCCATGACGATGTCTAATATTATGTTAATTTGAAAACAACTGTGTATGAAAACTGTCGACTATAATACCTAAATTCATTTAATGAAACACATCGTTAAGGCAATTAGACCTCCTGGATGTGATTAAGGAACATAATTACGACACTGTTCTGCGCCATAATTGGGTGTCTTTAATCAAGGGGTAAAGTGATCAGCAACACAGCCATTAGTTTGTATTGTTCTGTCTCTGCTGTCCATCATCCTGATTAGGAATTAAGCACAGCCAGAAGCCAGACTATGCCTCCTTCTCCTCCTCCTCCTCCACCACCATCAGTGCCCCACGCACACTTCTTTCTAGATGTGCGAATGTGAGCATCGCCAGGCTCCTTGGATAAGAGCACCGCGCAAGCTTTCCCCTTCGCAGAAAAAGGGTGCCCTCCAAAGGCGCAGGCAGCCTTTTCCTTCCCTTCTTGCCAGGGACAGGAAGGAGGACAATATTAGGGGAAGGATGGGGGGTTGATAAACGTGCAACCTTATCAAGCAAAAATGACTCCGGGGTGTTTTAATTCAGCGGCGCGTAAATGTGTCCAGTGACACTGCTTGACGCGCGGCTGAAGTCCTCATCAGCGCACTTTCAAGAAAGTGTGTACCACTTTGGGATTTGCTTCCAAAGAAAGTCGAATTAGGAGTGGGGTATCTCTTATACCCCAAATAAGGAAGCAACCATCCCTTTCCCATTCCCCCTGAATCCCATTACGAAGGAAATTTGGACAGCATTAGATCATCAGCTTTTACTTCGAAGCCTGCGTTTACACGGCTTGGCACTAACTGCCTGAGTTGCTGCTCTTCTCGATTCAAACAAGGGAAGTGTAGCCCAACCACTCCAGGACTTTGGGCTTTGACTTTCACGCGGTGCAGATCGCACCTGTGGCGGAAGCAGGATGGGCGAAATTCCCCCTGGCTTTGGCTTTTTCTAAGAGCAGCAGGACAGCCAAAGTCTGGGATGTTGGTGGGAAGTTCGGCGCGTTGCTTCTTGGAATAAACGATCGTTTCTTTCCTTCTTCGCTGGGAAAGTGCTCCAGCCACTTGTTTGGCCTCCTCTTGGCGATGGTGGAGCCCTATGGCTTTTGACATTTCGGCGACGGAGTTTGTCAGCTGAGATAAGGAAGAGCCCCCTCTCCGACAAATGTCACCGACCTTAGGTAACTCGGCTTAGGCGTCGCCGAATTCCAGCAAGTTTCGATAAAGGATGGAATGGGCCGAGAATTCCCCGTTCCCGTCGCACCTTTTGCTGCGCGCCAACTTTTAGCCCTTACGCCGGTTGATCCACCTAGAGAGCAAAAGTATTCTCTAGGATTCGGATCTCTTCCCCAGGGCCAGCCAGGCTTGAAGACTCTCCCCACCCACAATAACCCTCGTGTAATTATTTGCGTTTTACTTCCCTTGTGTGCGAGAGAGACAGAGAGCGAGAGAAAGAGGAACCCGAGACTGTTGCAGAGACTCTGGTGCGTTTTAACACTTCGCTCCTATTACTCTGTATAATCAGCAGCGTCGCTGGGAATTGACAGGGAACCAAAGGCTCCTCGATGCACTCACTGAACCGGGAGCGAGCATTGAGAATTGCGTGGCGCATCTGATCTCTCTCCTCCCTCTCTCTCCACGCGCCTCTCTCTGCGTGTGGCTCCTGCTGCCCCCTCCCATTTCTTGCTTGATGGATCACTTAATCAGAAATGAATATTCCCCTCGAAGAGCTTTTGTTTCATTTCAAGCCACCCCTCCAAACCAGGACCGTTTAGTCCGTCCAAGCGTCCCCGCGCTACTTCTTCTTCTTCCTTTTTCACCTTGGTTGCCAAGGCAAGCTTCCCCTCCCTCCCTCCTCCTCTCTCTCCCTCCCTCCCTAGCCCCAGTTCTAATCCTGCGATTGTCCCAGCATGAGTGACATTGACTTTCCTAATGTAATGACTTATGAAAGATATAATCATGTGTTAAATTGAATCCTCCGTTTAACT